CCGCGCGGCCTCACGGGAAGCGTAGTCCGTGCTGGGCGAGGCGGTGGGAGACTGCGCGTCCCGCCAGGCATTGTCCTGCCGGCTCGTCCGCGGTCCGGGGCCCTGCCCGCGGGCCTGGGAGCCGTCCTGCCTTCGTGGGTGGGAGCGCTCCCGCCTCCATGGGAGCACTCCCGCCTCCATGGGAGCACTCGCGCCTTCATGGGAGCACTCTCGCCTCCATGGGAGCACTCCCGCCCCACGGGGGCCGCGGGACTCTTCTCCGGGAGCAGCTTTCGGCCCTCCGGAGCGTCCCCGGTGCGACCGCAGCGCCACAAGTCCGGCGAAGGGAAAGGGAAAACTTGCGGCTTCTCGAGCAATGTCGAGGCTTTTGTTTGTCCGTTGTTGTTTTAAATGCTCGCAGCCGGCAGTAGTTCATTAAAAGCGTAAGAAATGGCAAAACTAATGAAACTGCTTCGCTCCTCTCACGGCACAAGCTGAAAAAGCTTCTCCGTTCTGCACAGGTCACAGGCACGGACAGCCTTAGGAGAGGAAAAATGTATGTGGGCTTCAGAATTACTGTTCAGAGTGCAAGACCAAAATTGGCTGACAGCGTTGATTGCCATCCAGTTGCAATATTCCGTGCAGTAATTCACTTTTATGTGTTTTGGGCTGGGGGTTTTCACACATTCATTCCCCCAAACAGTCCTTTTCATCACTCTTCTATTGGTGTTATTTACTGTTTTAAGCATGGACTGATGCATTCATACAAATGTGTTTTTTTGCCTAGGGAAAGAAACCTTTGGGGCTTGCGTGATGTCAAGTGAAAGTAAATGAATGTAAGAATTGCGGTAGCAGATCAGGTTTGCTCTCCACCGTGCTTTTTGTTTCTGTCTTTATCTGTGCCAGATGTAGCCAAGCAAAAAGGAAATATATACTTGGCTTAAGCCAAGTATGAGTAAAACTTGGCTATTTTTGACAGTAAAACTGTTTTTGACAGTCAAGACCAATGAAAAGTGGTACTTTTCCCATGTCTGAAGTTCAAATATTGTGAGTAGTTAAAGGTGACTGAATTTTGGGAAGTGAAGCATACATATTGTATATAGCCTTTATGGAGACCGATGTAGTAACGTGTTGGATACACACAGCATAGCAAGCAAGTTGAAGGGTATTAATTCCTTTGTCATTAAAGATGGAGGAAAATGTAAAAGGTGTAACAATAAACTCTTGATAACTTTTCAACTTGGTGGAAAAAGTGCTGGATGAATATGGTGTCATACTCACTCCATCATCAGCCACATAGTTTATACTGCCAAACCAGAAATACCAACTACTCTCATAGAAATGAGAACAGATTTTAGATGGTCATTTAGCTCAGTCTTAGTGGAAATGATCTCTATATTATTGCTCATACAGATCACTTTCCCATATTAATTCTGACACACCAGTGTAGGCATAACAGTTTGGGGTGAGAAACTGCTTGGCCCCAGTTTGGTATGTAAAAGACAAGATTGACCCTTTGTGGGAAGGTAAATGACTGAATTTACTGCAGTGAAAGAGTTAGATGCAGCAAGAGAACTTAATCTGTGCAAAAGCATAGGAAAGTAATTACGTCCTATATTCAGCAGGAGAAAGGCTAGGTGAATTTAGGGGAAATCTGAATCGATGGCATCACTTTATTTTATGCTTAATTGTGGCTTTAATGATTTTTAAAAAAGAAAAAAAAAAAGTTGTAGACATGTTTGGGAGCACGTTTTATGCAGCTGATGTCTAATAACGATACTGCAAAAAAAGACACCACTATTAGAACCACAACTGAAATACGGTCATACAGTAAGTCCCTACCATTTGCCTCATGACCAAAATCCCAGGAGAGCCCAGACATTGGAACTTTGCAAGCTTGGGGATAGCTAGCAAAATTCTCAACAAGGCCTACTGTGCCACAGTGTTTTATGTGTATTGTGGTGCCCAGGAGACCAAGGAACACAGCTCTTGGGGCTGTGTCTCAGTCACTTCCATTAGTTATGGTGTATGCCCTGTGTCTGTTAGTGAATCAGGAAAATGAAATTCAGCTATGCCAGCAGAAGGACAAAGTACTAGTGGGGCTGGCTGCTGTCTGCAAGGTGTGAGTTCCCCCTGTTTATTTGTAGTGGTTTATTGTAATGTGAGAGGCTGTTATAGAAACACAGACCTGCTCAAAAAACTGCTCACTGTAGTGCTTTACAGGAAGAGATGGCAGGGAATTGTGAGGTAAACTACAAATGAAATACAATTCAATTTGTTCACTATCTGTTGAAAAGAAATCAGGAACTTATTTATTTACCTGTAGGCTTCTTTAGTATTTTTTTGGCAAATGAAGATGCTCATGTTTTTCATTTCTGCCCATACTAATTTATGTTGTGTAATCAAATGACTAGCCACACCAACTTGACTAGGATTGCTTGTGTAAGTGCTGTTTATCATGACATACCAATGGCACTGAGTTTAGGCTGACATTTAAGAAGTGATAAGCCTACAGACCACAAAAAATACTGTTTTTGCAATAGAAAACTTCCTGTTTATAAATGCAAAGAATTAACTCTATTGATTAGCTTAACTTTTAGAACAGCCTAATTAGAACAGTTCCTGATAAGGAAACAGGGATTAATGACTGTTTATTGGAAGGCAAATACAGTGAAAAAGAACTAAACACAAGCTGTGAATTCAAGGTAAAAAGAAATTCAATTTGTGCGTTATAATCAACACTGCTCAAAAAACTCCTTTGCAACTACATGCCTGCTTAGCACAAGAAGTGAAAGGAGACCACTGGAGCTGCTGTTTTCTCCTGTTTATATAATATTATTAATGTTGATGGCATTTCTCCAGCAAATGTTTCATATAAATCATGTTTCGTCACTGTGACGGAGTGATGGCATGAAGGAGTATTACAGATGTCCTGTAATCTACCTAAAGCTAATTGCTTGCTTAGGTTTCATTAGTTCTCAACAGACAGGAAAAAAAAGCTGATTAAAAACATAAATTTATGTTTGGATATACACTTCTCAGATGGGGATTAAAATTTTCAAATCTCCCTCTCTTCTGCACTTACCCATTCCATATCCCTGTAATGTCCTTTTTCTATTCTAATTTATTCTATCTCTTCCCATGTGTAGAGCTGTTTGACACATTAACTCCCATAATTTCCATCTTTGTGTTGCATCTGCTGATACCACCCTTCGCTTCTTCCTTCCAAATCCATTCTTATCTTCTGAGCTGCATGATTGCTGGAGCTTTCTGTACCCATTTAGGACTGTCACAGTTTTGTATTTACTTCAGTACTCTGATTTTTAACTCTCGTCTAATACAGTGTTTCTGGATTTACAGTCCTTTTGTTTCTTTGTTTTCAAGAAGGACACATTTCTAATGATATTATTTGAAAATATCAGGAAAGATCTACCTATCCCATCCCTAGATTGATATTCCAGGTCTTGGCTATTGCTGGTAGGTTCCTGTGCTTTGGTTTCTCACAAGGGAGCCTCCCTGCCTGTGGCACTCAGAGGTTGCAGATGTACACCTGCATGTTTCTGATGGCTCTCACAAGAAATTCAAGACAGCAACAGCTAAGTGGAGAGCCTACCACCTAAAACTGCAAGCCTGGCTAGCTCTTGAGCTACCAGAAACTAGCAGTTTGTTTTTCTTTGGCACCTGCTCTTGCTGCCCTACAGCAGTCCTGTGTGGCAGGCCAGAATCCATTCACCACGGTGCCTGTGTTGTGGATTGCAGCGTTCCCAGCAGTTCTGGCTGCCAGTGTCAGTATCAGGCCTGCTGCTCTCCTCACATGTTTTCAACTATTTTCTTGTAATTCCTCCTCACATCCTGTTTGTTGCCTGCTATTTTTCTGCTGTTGCAGCTGTTTTTTCCATTCTTTGCAGTCCTCCCAGTTTTGCAGTCCAGCTGTCCCTCCCAGCTGCCATGAACTCCACCATCTCCCAAATTCCACCCTTTCTGCTGCTGCAGGGGCATCACCCACAGCCTTATTCTCCCTTTGCAGGAAATAACTATCATTCCTGCTCTACTGCACACCATGGCTATTGGAGGACATTAGTTAAATAACTGAATTGTCTTGAGACTGAGAACTATGTAAGGATTACTGCATGATTGTATTTTTTCTGAGCAATCAACTTTATGTGATGGGAAACTCCATCCGAAGTTGGATCATAGGAAAAAGCTGTGTCAGAGTTTTAAGTACATAATATTACCCTAGTCTAGTGCAGCACTATGCAGGAACTTCTCACTTCTGTGGAACAATCTCTCAAAAGGGCAACTTTGGCCCAGAAATATTGTGTCTGGATGGCAATCTCTCTTGAGAAATCAGTTTCCTTTTCTGTTTATTACAAACTCTCTTGGATTCTGAGATTCACATTCCTGTTTCTGGAAGGAAATCCATGACCCTAGATAATTTAACAGTCAACAGGAAAATGGAACTGCCATTTATCTTTCAGCTTGACTTTGTGAACAGACTCAGGCAATTATATCTCCATCTTTTAGTTAATTTTATCTGCTACAGACTCAGTTAAATTTGCTTGCAGATTTCAGTTATTTCCTGAATATCTGCAGGATATGAGCAATTGCTGTTTATATATTAATCACTGAAATGTTTTATCCTGACTTGCTAAGGAAATAAAGCTTACATGAGCAATCCATATGTTTGTGTGAATACTTCTTTATCTGTTTTTTCACTCTGCCCTGTCTCGATAAAATTGACTAATTTCAGCCTAACTGAAAAAAGAAAAGCTGTTCTTTTAGGGATTAATTGTGAACTTATTAGATGCTTGCTTGCTGCTAATAGTTTTGGATTTTTTTCTCCCATTCACTGAGGAGAAGATTGCAATACAAACCTTCCATGTATTGGACTCAAGAAAATCTACTCAAAAGCACTGAGTACCCAAACCATAAAAAAATCATCTGCTGATGAACATAACTTATGCACAAGGAACCAACATAAGCAGACTCACTGCTCACAGAAGGTCCGGGTTTGTCTGCTGGATTTTCTTGCCATCTTGAATGCTGGACCATGTGGCAGTAAATTTGAAAGTGATTATCTTAATGATTACTTAAACACTTTAAGTAAAATCTGACATTTCAAATGCCTTTAACTATTTATCTGTAATGAAAAACATTTTCTGCCTTTTAATTTTCAGATTTATATACATATTTTTTCCATGAAGCCAGGACATGCTTGTACCTGGAATTGGCTCATATCTACTAGTTTCCACCAATAAATGCTATAATTTTCTGGTATGGCATGAGTGGCACAGAAGAATGTGGGGTATCTGTGCCCTGTGCTGCTCTGAGAATTGAGGTCTACAGATGGAGCAGGTAAAAAAAATAAAAAGAGCTGAGCAGTCTTGTGCTCAGAGCACACATCTAGGAGATGACAATACAGTTATTTTACTCTCTACTCAAATGCATGCTCTTCTAGCTTCTTTGTCCCTGGAGCAAATTCATAGAAGTTGCAAGTGGCAGCAGGGGACAGAAGTAACTGAGAAATTTGCCAAAATAATTATATTATGATTGACTGAAGTTGCACAGCTGACTCAGGAGAGGATGCAGACCTTGAGGGCAGGCGTGAATCTTCACTGCCTCTGGGCTTACACTGTCAGATATGTGAGGATAACCCAGGAATTCTCTTTCATGGTTTCAAGAGCTGTGCAGAGACTGAGGCACTCGAGAAACTGGAGTTCAGACTCAGAGGAGTTGCAGGACAGGACAGTCCTTGTGACAGAAGGCAAATACCCCAACTTCTTACCAGGGAGAGAAGATGTACTATAATTTAGGATAAGAATGAGTCTACTATCTCTTTGGTTGATAATGTAAGGCAAAACTTGGGGCAAAAAAGGGAGAACAACCAAGTTCCTTGAAGTTTTACTACCATGTGTATTCAAGGTGGTAATAACATTGTAGCTGTGATACTCTCAAAGGTACAGGTAAGTGCTCTTTCTGGGGAAGCTAACTTAATAAAATAATTATCATCTAATATGTATACAGTAGAGGAAAATACAGAAAATTTGGAGAGCACAGAAGTTCCTCTCCAGCTGTCCTATTCACTTCTGTTGTCTGATGTTTTTTTTTAACTATCATGTGATCTAAATGTCCCTATTTTATATATCCTTGGTCAAATTTGCATTACAATTAGAAGTATAGCTTAGCTTACAAATGAACTAATCCTATTCCTTACTGGTATGCATCAGCATACTTTAAGGTTGTTATGGTTTATTATTTGTGTTCTGAAATGCAAATTCACGGTCCCACATGTGATGAGCCCTGTCATGTTAGCTCCTACAGAAATAAAGAATAAAAGGTGATGCCAGGCTAAGTTAATACCTAATTTGTTTTTCATCTCATGCACTGGAGGAGTAACCTTACTATATTTTTAGATGAGTTCTAAAGGTTTGCAATCAGCCCATACCATAATGATGTAACAAATTGCCTCATTTTTTATATATGCAAAAATCCCTAATGTAAGCATGCACTTATTTGAAAATGCACAGTGAAAGCAGAAGAGGCAGTAAGTGCCTTTGCAGTCCATTTTAGAAGGATTGCTCTTGTTGTAAGTTTTCAAACATCTCCATTATTCTGATGTATTTCTTTCCAAAAGAGAAATAAAAGTCTTAAGCCTTCAATATTTTTTTAGTGCACATGGAGAATTTGCCTCTCTATGTGTCAGTACTGTATTTCAACAAAATATGAAGAGAATTACACAGTCACAGTCACTTTGGACTTCATTGGCATAATAATAGTTGCAATGAACAGCCTACTTTCAGGGTAGCAAGTGACAGGAATGCTACAGCTTTTCTAAACATGAACAGATGAGCTTACTAACAAAAGAGTTAATTTTGGTAAAGAGGTTCAAACTGAAAAATTTTTTACCTCTCATTTTCATGCATGCCATTGCAGAACTGTCTGGTCTTTTATATTTGTATATGTTACATCTGTTAAATTTGTTTGTATCCCAGAAGTTATAAGAAATAAGGGCTTTACCAGAAAAGAGAGCTACTGTGCAGGAGACCACAAGTTGATTTTACACATACTCTAAGCTAATGTGGCAAAGGAATGTATTTTTTAAAGGAAAAACTCCTTACTGACAATTATCTGTCAATATTTTATAAGGGAAGTACTAAAATCACTGCAATTTTTTATATCAATTCAGTTTGAAAGCAAGGTGTTAGTATTTTTTTTCTGTTAATAAAAATCCTATATTCCACTTAGTTACCTCAGATCTTCTTGGCTCTTCTATGTGTCTCTGCCCTTAAAAATTAATGCAAAACACTTGGGAATGCAGTTGACTGGGAATTATTCAATGAAAGACTTTTTTAGCTGGACAATACCCTGTATGAACTAACATGCTTGCAAGAACCTAAGTGCTTCAACAGGGCATTTACTGAAATGCAATACTCTAGAGACTGAGAGGCATAACCTTGTGGTTATGAAACTCCTGGGAGTTAAGCAACAAACTCACAAGTGTCTTCTTTCTGATTTGGGTGTTGGCCCTGAGATTTTTTTCTTCTTGATCTGCCTTGTGTGAGAGAAACCACTATGGAGCTAGTCCAGTATTCTGTCTGGTTGTGATGCTGGGTACTCCGCTTCACAACTTTGTTGCAGAGAATGTGAACAAAATATACAAGTACAGAAAGTCATAATCCATCTCTAGAAAAAACACTGTAGGGTTGTTTTCCTGGTGTATGGAGCATATTTCTGGGACAGGAAGAAATGGCCGACTTGCAGAGTGAATCTGAGCCTTTCACATCCCAGGTAAATTGCTCTTATTGCCAGGCTATTATCTGTGCATTCATTAAATTACAAGTGTTTAGTGGCATTTAATAAAGATCAAGAACATTTAAGAAACCTTAAAAAGTTTTACAGCTCAAAAAGCCTCATTTCCTTGTCTAACCTGATACTGAGTATCTTTCATCAATAAGGAACAGATTTAATTTTAAAAATCTTATAAATAATTAAAAACTTATTTCAGTTTGACTGTGATTATATTTATATTCTGATACAATTAACATTAAGAATTACTTTTGTTAGCAGTGTAATCTGGTATTCAATTGTGATTGACAATGTTCTCTACAGTCAAAGAGAGAACAGGAGAATCTTTCAGAGAAAGGGAGACTCTTGAAAAAATGTGTGAAGAACTTCATATATCTCCCAAGACAATGTTTTACAAATTTTTGAGAAAAATCCAGTGGCTCCTGAATTATGTCCCTATGGTATCATTTTAAAACTACCAGGTCACACAATGTTATAATTCAATAACTGCTAATAACATAGTAAGAGATAAATGGTTGGTGAAGATGAAAATAGTTCTTAATTTTTTTTTTATTGTGTATGTCAACCTTTCTTTGCTGCAATTATATCTGGGCTGTTTTTCCATTTTGAGGCTAAATGCAAATTCAGATTATAAATTATTCCTTCTAAAGAACACGTACTGGATAAAGAAAAGTTTAAAATAGTGTGTCTTAGCAGTTATTTTCTTTTGTAAACAGGATCAACACAAACAGTGCTGTCAGACGATGATGATTAATGGTCGAAAACACTATAGATCTGCATTATGTAATGCATCTCATATCCTTGAAATGAGGATTGTAATTTGTCATTGTTGTCTAGAGTTAAAATTACAACAGGTAATTTGCAAGAATAGATTGTAGTGTTTTATAATTGCTTTTTAAAATTCATATGGTCTTATATTTGAATAAATATTAGATCCTGGAGCAATGCATTAATTTTCTGTGTAGTGACATTCAATGGCTGGATAATCAATTATACATTTTTTCTTTAGCTAGAATGACCTCTATCATATTTTTCATATGGTGTGGTACCCTATAAGTAGTATCAGAATACAAGCACACTCTTTCTACCAAGAAGTATTCATTTTTACATTTAGTTCCTTATCTCTACTTGACCATGTGACTGGCAGAGTTCACAGCTAACTCTGAGTTAGAGCACATTCTGACTGCTCATGGGAATTACATTCTGGTCTCTTGTGAGCATGCCCTTACAGGGGGCTGTTTTCTCATGGGCCTTCCCTGGCACTTCTCCTTGCCACTGCTGCATGCTTCTCTTTCAAATGATGGCCTTGGCTCATACCAGATACATGGTTAATTGTAGGCTGTAAAGTTCATTAAAAGGCACTTATGATAATTCATACTCAAAGACTTTCTCTGTCTGAACCTGTCTGTACTCAATTACAGAATTGCAAAAAAAAAAAAAAAAAAGTTATGCAAGAGATGCCAGATAGAAAAACCTGATTCACAGTTTGTTTGTTTGGAGGTGGTGTTGTTGTTGTTGTGGGAATGCACTAAGAATTCAACATTTTGTATTGTGATATGGTCAAATGTAATTGTCTGAATGGGAAATTCCATTAAATCACTGACTTGTGGTTCTGGAATTGCTCAGTGACCTCAAGTGCTGGAGGACAGCTGTAGCCTGCCTTTATTTACTGATGCTGGCTCATAAATGTATCTTGCTAGCTTGGACAACAGAGACAAGTCCCATGTGGTCCACTTTGTTGAACTTGACTGAGGAATGTCTGCCCCTGGAAAGAAAAATATTTGGTTTCCAACAGAGAACTAGAAGTTTCTGTGCCAAATGGGACAGTGTTTGGAATGAGCTAGAACAAAATGGAAAGAAGATTAAATTATC